CAGAAAAATGGTGAAAGAGGAGTTGAAGTTGTAACGAATTCAGACCAAAGCTTGTGGTTTTACTTAATAAAGACCCAACTGAAGGATTTAAATGTGAAAATGAATAAATAGATGCGTTTCATGATTTGAACATTTTACTGAATATTTACATTTTAAAGCCAAACGAGGCAGATTGTGTTCAGCTCCAGCAGAGTTTTCTGATGAGTCAGCAGGAACGCTCCGGGTCGTTCCGGCTCCACGTTGTCGTCGGACCGCGGGCTAAAATCCACAAAAACTCCTCTTCCTTAGCTTCAAACGTCACATGCATCTCATCTGAAAGCATCCTCGCCATGTCAAGAGTAAAATAAGTACAAAATAAACATTTCAAAGCATTATTTTCTTGTTGTTTTTTACATAAAACCATCATGTTTCCTTGCGATTGATAAAAGTGGATGGTGATACAGTACATTCTTTTCCCGTTTAACACATTTTAAACCAGATGTCTCAAAGACACAGTTCATTTATGCTCCTTTGAGTTAAACAATGGAGGGGGGAATGAAAAATTTTTAAATATATTTAGAAATTAAACATTTACACATACAGAATGACAGGCTCCACTCAGTTTGTCCTTTTTTTTAGGTAACCAAGAGTACAACTCAATGACTTGTGTGAAAGTTGAACAGATTAAAAAAACAAAAGTACTACAGTACAACGTCTTCAGAAGATGTGCGCTCCGTAGCCAAAGGTCTGTTTAATGGCCTGGAAGTAGTATCTCTTCCAGCCTTCTCTCGTCTGCTCCTCCTCGCTGTCCGGGACGCCTCGACACTCCACCTTCAGCTCCGTCTCGTTGCGCAGGTCCGAGAACGTCAGCGTGATGGTCGCGTAATGCTCTGTGGAGCGGGAGAAGAAAGAAATTAATAAAACAGGCGTGTTAAACGGACGGGGGCGAGTGCGAATAATAACGCATTTTATTTGTTAGCGCCTTTCAAGACACCCAAGGACACTTTACAACATTAAAAACACAATATTAACAAAAAAAAAAAAAAAACCAGTAAAATCAGAACAAATAGAACTTAAAAAAATTAAAGTGAGAAGAATAACTTGAACACGTATGATCACTCGTTTGGGTCCTTCCAGGAGGAGCTGGAGGGTCAGAGGAGGACTTGTGGCTCCTCCACATGAGGAGTTAAATTCTGTGTGGTGGTAGCTGAGATGTAAGGTGGCGGGCAAAAGAGTCTGACATCAAATTTTTGTAATAAACATTAACATATTTTTGGAAAGATAACATTAATAACATATTGCAAAACAAATTTCACGTCGCTGAGATGAATGGTTGATGATATATTTGCATGTGAAGAAACAGGAAGTGATGTCAAAGGGGAATGTAAACAGAGCGTTGTTACAAAAGCTAACACCACCGTAGAGAAGAATCTGTTTTAGGTTATTTTTAGTCGTTATAAAAGAGAAAAAAAAGAGATATTTAAGTTTAAACAATTTTGTTTTAATAAACAAGACCAGTGAGTTTATTTTATTAAAGAGTTCCCCTTTGATGTCACTTCCTGTTTCACTTTGGCTGAGACAAGTTCAAAAGAAAATAGGCCAATTATGAGAGAAAATTGGTAAAATCATGTGTACTGTMWATTTTCTAAAGTATAAAGATGTTTTCTTTGACTTGTATTTGCAGGAYAAACATGTCACAGGTACTTTAATGTTTGTAGTTTATTATCAGAAGCAGAACCCACCACAGGGCCAGTTGTTAAACCTCCACTTCATCACGATCTTCTCATCAGGCACCTGTTTGAAAACACACATTTTATGGTTTTAATMTGTTCGGAACTTAAAAAACAACAACGAGGTCTCGAACGTCTCGTCTCACCAGCTCTGTGAACTCTCCCAGAACGTTTCCGTCCAGCAGGCGAAACCTGCCCCCCCTCTCCCCGTCCACGGCGGCAGGACTGCGGGTGAAGGCCTGAACCATCTGCAGAGGCACAAAGCAGCAGGTTTTATAAACCGCTCCAGCCTTGAACTGAACGCATCAGGTGAGGCTGACCTCCTGGGTGACGAAGACTCTGTAGAGCTCGGCAGGTGAGGTGAGAAACGTGTCCTTCAGGCTGACCTTACAGGTGGGGATCTTCACGCCTGTGTTGGTGGGAGGAGCCGTGCTGCTCGAGGAGTTAATCTGGAAGACGTTTAAAACGTGACGGGAGTTAAAGTCAGACACACGAGGAGAAATGTGTTGATCTGAAAACACAAACCTGAGTTTTATCCTGTTTGGCTTTGGACTGGGAGGTGGGCTGAGGTTTGGCCACACCGTTGGTGGTCGGCAGGATCATCCCCTGTGTGAACTCTGCGAGTCAACAACGAGGACGACAATAAGACAAAGKTGGTCCAAAACTGCCCACCCTAAAATCCAGACCAGGGGTGTCCAGTCCTGGTCCTGGAGAGCCGCTAACCTGCGTGTTTTACCTGTTCTCAGGCTCTAACACCTGATTTATTCAAACTCTGGAGCACAGGAACAAGTAAAACCTGCAGGACTGAGACCCTCCAGGACCAGGACTGCCCACCTCTGTGCTATGATGCAGTGCAGGTGGGCAACAAAATAACGTGCACAACCAAGAGTACAACCACACAACTTTCTGCTCCCGGTCAAATCTATTTTATCCATCTTTTCTTTTCTGGTTTTATGTTTCCAAACTCTTGTTTTTTCCTCTGAATTCTACATTTTCATCCTAAAGTATTTATTAACCTGAAGTGTGAAATTATAAAGTGGTTCAAAAATAATTTAACAAACGAAAAGCCACGGAATTCAAAATGTAATGGCTTTTATTTCACTTACACAAATGTAACAAACTGCTGCGGTTCAGCAGAACATTCTTCTTTTTATTTATTTATGTTTTTGCAAAGTGTTTAAAAGTACTCACTGGAGTGCAAGGATACAGAAAAATAAGTTCAATATTTTTTGATAAAAAAAGTAAAAATGTCCACGACCTTCTTAACTTGTAATTTATTTAAATTAATTATGAACATTTGTTTAACTTCAAAAGTCCAGGTTTTAAATTAAATG